TTTTTTGAGGGGGCTGGAATTTAAATGTGCCTGTCTTTAAAGGACTTTATGTCAACCTCTTTTTAAATGTCCTATAGGCGATAAATAAAATATATTCTTGTTTGAGATATATTTTTTCATTTTTAATAAATTAATAACACCATTCAGTAGGCTATATACTGAACTTAGAGGAGAGAAACAAAGTATCGATCCTTTCACTCTAGTATCATCCGCTACCAATACCGGTGTTGGTATTGATACTGTCAATATTTGGATCAATCTGCCCACCTCTAGAATTTAGCCCCTGCAAATTTGTGGCTTCAACAGCATTACTTTGTCCTGCAGACACACACATCTTTTAAAACACAAGCACATGCTCTGACCAAGCTGAGATAACCTTGTCCTTTTTCCAATTTCACCCTCCCTAAGCCAGGATAACAAGATGGAGTATCTTCAGTTTGTAGATACGACCTAATCCTGCTGCTGCACAGAGTTGGAGTAAACAACAGGAACCATATCAGATTAAACTCCTCTTATAGGCCTTATGCACAGCATGCCTCTACCTTGTTTTATCATCTTTTCCCAGAACTGTGGATAGAGAAAATCTTTTACCCCTTGACATCACAGTACCTGCTTTTATTAGATTTTTACTCATGAAGCTCCTCTGTGAAATATTAATCTTTTACTTTACTTTTTCCTATTCTCTTGTTGATTTTGCTTACATTTTTGTGTAATTTTCACCCTATTATTGCACGAGATAGGTGAAGAACAGAGTGTAGGCAGGTTGGATCGGGTGGGAATTAGTGTCAGGAGTGCTTCTGGCTGAAGAATAGCAGCAAGAGTGAAAGGGAATGTTTACAAGATGATATCGAGACCTGCTATGAAGTACGGTTTGAAGATGGTAGTCCTGACACAAAGATAGGAGTAATTGGAAGTGAGCAGGATGGACAGGATTAGAAATGAGTAGCTCAGAGGGATAGCTCAGGTCGAGCGCTTTGGACATGTACAGAAGAGGGAAAGCGGATATACTGGAGAAAGGATGTTGAACATGGAGCTGGAAAGCAGGAGGAAAAGAGGAAAACCTCAGGGAAGATTCATGGATTTAGGGGAAGAGGACATCAATGTGACAGAGAAGGATGTGGGATAGGGTGAGAAGGAAGGAGACGAGCCGCTGTTGTTACTATGGGAGCAGCTTAAAGAAGGAGAAGAAGAATACGAGTTGTTTTTGTCCTTTTAAATTCAAGCTACAGTTCATTAGGAGCCAGCGGTGATTTATTCAACCAGGAGTTTTCCAAGAATCTCTGCTTCTCCGCGGGGACAACGCCACTGAAACTCTGTGCCTCAGATTCCTTCACCCACATGTTTGCGATCTGTACTTAAAACCAAAATTCCTGACAAAGAACTGCAAGAGCTGCACAGCAGGTTTGGATAGTTATATCCAAAGAAAGCGAATAAGAGATTGAAATTGTTAATTATCTGTGCTCACACTTTGGTACAGTGTCCACCGCCCTATGGTACGAGCCCACAATAGGTTTTAGACGCATGCTTTTATTTTCTTATCACAATGAGACTTTGAGCTGCAGCTGCAGGCTCAGTGAAACACTGAAGAGACAGAAGGACACAAAGACGAGCAAAATGGGTTTGGACAGCTGACATCAGCTGTTGTTTTCTCTTATGAGCACGGAGAAAGAATGAGGTTATTTAAAAGGAGAGGCCGTGGGTAAAGAGAGAAATCTGAGTGAAGGGGAAGAATGAAGGCTTAGCAAAAAAATCATCAGCCTTGGACTCGCTGGTGTACACGTTCTCACTACACTTCGATGAAGACTGAGAAACAGAGAGAGAGAGAGTGTGTGTGAATCATGTGTCTCTCCATCCCTGCTCCTTTCAGGACTCTGGCAGTTGTTTCATCAGCTGCCTGTCATCCTTTCCAGTCGGGAAGGGGCCCTGCGCCAGAGCGAGGGGGGAAAACCCAAAGCTCCTCCAAAAGTTTAACTAATTCTTATTTTAACTCTTTGCCTCCTCTGAAAGCCTACTAGAAATAACCATTGAAGCTCTTTTCTAAACTGAGTGCTTTCTGTCATAATTTCTGCCTCATTATGACACAAAACGACTGGGTATGCATCAGAAGTTAGGAAGGGTGATCTCTCTCTGTGCAGCTACCCTTGGAAACTATTTTAATGGTCATCAAACCAAATATTTACTAATCTGTACTGAGGTGTCAAAACTTGCCACAGGAGAGGTTATTCAATGTTGTGTTTATGGAGGAAAGCGTTAAGGAGATTTATTCACTTCCTGTGTTTTTTTACACAAACTGAAACCTAAAAACCTCTTGGGTGTGAATCCAGCAGAAACGATTTTTAGTCTCCATCTTTTAGTTGCATAAACTGAAAACTAATGGAATCCATCATTATTTCACAGGACTGAAAAAAAGCTGTAATCCCCACACATCCTGCTCATCCATTTCAGATTGATCATAATGTTGTTACACAAGGGTGTGGCTCAGCGGTTAAAGAAATCCTTAACAGAATTAGGATAGACTGAGAATTTGAAAGGCTTTTATGCACACACTGTCTTGTTTTTAAATCTGCTTCTTTGCTGTGGTCTTCACTCACCCATCTGCCCAAACACCTCACAGTAAGGACAGCTGCAGACACAAAACAAAGCCCCCCCACACACAGAGACACACACGCTGACACACCAAACGAAACCTTGGTGCTGATACAGATTGAGTGACACGGTGCGTAAGATGAGGGGGAAGGAGACGGTCCTTGTCGCTGCCACTGCTCCTGCTGCAGGCCTGTGTTTTTGATCCGGGATGCTTTGTTAATTTAAAAGCCTGTGAAGTTCAAACGGCGAGTCACAAATGAACAAGCGGCATCAAACTGGGATCAACAAAAGGACCACACCTGACAATAGCATACTGCTACAACTGAGACCATTAGAAGCTTTTGGAAAGAAGATTTTCCCTCTGGGCTTTCACTGAACATCAAAGGTGCTGAGTGAAGTAGTCCTACACATTCACACACATCAAGTGGAAAAAAATAATGACAGCCTCTAATCCAACAAGATGGATGGGCCATGTTTATGAGAGACATTACACTGTGGACCTTTCCTTCTGTCTTACACACTCCAACATGAGGCACCATCAGAGCGGTTGGCTACATAATGCATGATGATATTAGGTTAAGTGGGTGGAAGGCAAAGATGGGCTGCATGAGCTGCTGCCAAAGCTTGCTTAGGACGCTCAGCAACCAGGAAATGAGCTCATGTGTTCTCTAACAGAAGATTTGCAATCTACCCTCTCTGGAAGATCAGCGCCCCAGCGACTCAGCAGAAACATACAAGGCATTTACAACATCATCATGATGTGTTTTAAAGCCCCCCACATGTGTGCTTTTCATATGAAAGTGAGAAAAACAAGAGAGAGAGCAAGGCTGGAAATACACTCTTGAACATGCACGAATCAAGTCCCTGCAATGAGATATTGATCTATATTTTCTTGAAAGAGCTCTTACAACCTTCAAATCTTTATAATTTACATCTATTTTTTAAGAATTACCCATCTTTTCATTTTCTTCCACTTTGAATTCAGGGTCACAGTAAGGGTGGAGCCTATCCCCATATCATAGGCTGTCATAGGGTGAGAGCCAGTGTACCCCTTGGACAGATCATTAAAACCCATTTTTACTCCTTGGCTTATGACATAGTCTGAACCTGATTTTACTGTTTTAATCTAATGTGCTGATTTTATTGTTTTAAATGTAATTCTAATGATCATTTTGTACTTTTTTATTATTGTTTTTGCTATTTGTGCCAATTTTATTATTTTAAATGTTTTGATTTTAATTATCATCTTATTTTTTTTAAATAGTTTTTCTTTATTTTATATTATTTATATATATTTTTAACTTGTTCAATGTATCATTTCTGGCATGTCAAGTGTACAGCACTTTGTGCTGGGGGCTGATCTGAAAGTGCTATATAAATAAATTGCTTGCTTGCTTGCTAGCAGTCTATCACAGGGCTAACACACAGACATGAAACCATTGATTAGTTACTCAAAAGCTAATTTAAAGTCACCAATCAACCTAAAACATGTGTCTTTAGAACCTGGACAGAACATGCAAACTCCACATAGGACGTTTGCAGCCAGCTGGTGGATTTTAACCCCAGACTTTGTTTCTGTGAGGCAATGCAGTCTATTTTTGAAGACAGAACCATTAATTTCCAGATTTGGATCAGTAAATTGTTCATGCAAATCCATCAATAATTTTGGATAGCGAAGAAAACCACTGGGACTTCGCCATTCAGGAAGAGCCAGAACCATTATCAGTGACTTCTCACACCCTCCATCACAGACCGTTCCCACCAGCTTCTGCAATAGCTTTCCCCCAGGGTCATCAGACTTCTGAAATCAAAACAAAGATACGCCACAACTCCACAGGTCATTTTTATTAATGCACTTTGTAGTATTTTTGCTGCTATACATTTAAATATAGTTTTTTTGTTTGTTTTTTTTAATCCTGTGTCGTACCAGTTGGAATGTTAATTTATCCCTTGTACACTTGGTGTGTATTTAATGACAATAAATTTGAAATCTAAGTGTAGCTTTTGAGTAAGCCTGGTAAAAATCACACACACACACACACACACACACACGATCATGCAAGGCTGCGTGAATCACCATCCCGACACATGAACTACTTCCTCCCTCTGCTGATGGTTAGGTGGAACAGCAGGAAACAGCTCGTTGACTTAGATCAGACCGGGAAACTTTAATCAGTAGTTTGACAAGTATG